CCCTCGTCTACGGAACCTGCACTGGCTCCCTATGGCTGCCCGCATCAGGTTCAGATCCCTCGTCTACGGAACCTGCACTGGCTCCCTATGGCTGCCCGCATCAGGTTCAGATCCCTCGTCTACGGAACCTGCACTGGCTCCCTATGGCTGCCCGCATCAGGTTCAGATACCTAACACTTGCCTCTAAAGCCAAGACTGGAACAGCTCCTCCATACTTGGTGTGTCTGTTCAGTGTGTGTGTCGGCTTGAGCAGGGGAGGGAAAGCCCTTCGTTGCCAAATTTGGCAACTGGGGAGGAGAAATGCCATTTTCAGTTGTTTTGCTGCGGAGCGCAGACAGACCGGGGCGCTGGTGATGACTGCCCGTTGGGGATCGCTGTTCAACAGAAGAAAACTGGGCGGCTGAAGATGATGATTTTGCGCGAATCATGGCTAACGGTACGGGCACAATCATGTTAAAATGCGTGGTCGTTGGAGACGGTGCTGTGGGCAAAACTTGCCTGTTAATGAGCTATGCCAACGACGCCTTTCCTGAGGAGTACGTTCCTACCGTTTTTGACCATTACGCAGGTAAGTGTCGTGTGGAAACTCCTCTCTTAACTACCATATTCTAAGAAAGAACTAAAATAATCTACCAAGTGTTTTATAAATATATAAAAGTTATTTTTATTTCTACGTGGACATGATATGGGTGGAGATCGGTGTTCTGTACTCACAGTTGTCAAAAAATTTAATGGCGAAACAAAGGAAGATACAGGCACTGGAAATAAAATTAACGAAATAATACGAATGACTGTAGTGTGTGCTTGAAGTATTGCACTTACGGGAAAAAAAAACTTTAAAAAGTTAATATCGTGAAAAGACACAGTAAGACCCCGGAATATTCAGCCAACGCTTTCCGTATTGTGTTTTTTTTTTTACCCACACTGATATTTGATACTTTATATGCGATGTAAAAAATGATAGAATAACTGAGGACTGTTAGAGGAAATTTATGTGTTAAAACGGAAGTAAGATAATAATCTTTTATCTTTCTGCCCTCACGCGCTCTCTCTTATTCTGGGCTCTGTTTTTCCTAATTAAAACCACTTGTGTTTCTTTCGTCTAAGCCTTTGGAGCTAAGATACCCCCACTCAGTTTTCCCCATTTTTAACCTTATTACTCTTTTCCCATCTCCCACTCTTTCTATGTCTTGTTTTGTTCCCTTCTTCCCATTCAGTGTATGTAATACATGGTTATTTTCCCGTTTTTTCAGTGAGTGTGACTGTCGGAGGGAAACAGTATTTATTGGGACTGTACGACACAGCTGGTCAGGTAAAGTTGATTCTGAACAACATAAGCATAGTTAAAATCTTCCTAATGTAAATATATCCTGGTCCTTCATTGTCAAGTGTCCATGTATAAATATGTAATTCATCAATGGTGCTGGAAGCATCCTGTAAAAAACAGGAAGTGCAGCTTTAATCCAGGCAGTAACCTGCAACAGGTGATTACTGATGTCTCTCCAGTGAGATAGATGGCGCTATTTGTGGTATATGCTGATTTTTATGGCGCTGCGGGGTCTTATTGCAGATAGTTAAGGCCTTTTTTCTCTCTGTCTCTTCCTCATTGTCCTTGTATTCATCTTTTCCTGTTCTTTTACATGACAGTAAAACATATGGGTACAATACGTCATGAAATTGCCAGCAGGTCCAGATTTTTGTTAAAACTATGAGGTATACAGTATATGATAGAAATAAAAGTAAAGGCAAAAGAGAGGGGTTAAGGAACAAATATACAGATCGACAGATCAGGAGCCCCCACCAAGCGTTGATGAATAATAAATAAATAAATACATAAATAAAACATAACTGTCACTCATGGGGGGCTCCACAGGGAACTGGATAAGTGCTACAGAATTCCTGAAGTGGTACCTTCAGCAGCTCTGAAAGCGACCAATTGAACTGGGCAGATGGGTCTCTTAACCTGTAAGAAACGCACCCAAGGATGAGCTGGGACCCTCCTCACCAGCTGTGCACATCACCTTGCTCTCACTGCCTCGATCCTATGCCGACCTCCGTGCTATTGTAAGAACAAGATAACACATATGAATCCGTACTGCACATGATGGTGGTCGATTTGAGCTTCTTGGTTCTGGCAGGTAACATTGAGTTCAGCGCTGTGTGGCACCCAGGGCTCAGTGACGCTGCAGTGACATGGAGTATGGAATATCCATGTCAGGTGGAGTCTGGTAGTGTGAGGACATCAGCAAGGACATTTGCTGTGTACGTTCGATGGCTGTATTATATTAGGCTTTGCTGATTTTAAATACTTACTTGAAACTCAGATATGGAGAAGTTTCCCTGATTCGAGGGGAAGAATGGAGATCATGCAGCAGAGCTCCTTATCGTGAAGAGGAAAGGAAGTTAAATGCAGATTCTCTATCCCATACCTCAAACCACCTCCACCCACGTCCCTCTACCACTGTGCATGGACTCATGCAGCTGGAAGTGTTTATATCTGCACATCTGGCAGAGGGGACCTTCTAGTGTTTGATCAGACGTGTCTCAAACTCCCTGTTATTTTAAAAAAGAAGAGAATGAGTGAGGTTATCCTGAAAGTGCAGATCTGTCCTAACTGCTCCTCTCTTGTTCAGGAAATGGGCCAGTGGTAGGTAAATAAAAACAGCAAGACCTACAGGTCAACAAAATCTAGTCCATGGCTTATCGTATCTCCATCGCAGCAGCCAATAGAAAGAGGCTACGCTTGTATAAACAGTCATCAGTCACAGTCATCAGCAGATATACAAGACAATCATATAAATCATTTTACTCACAATAAGATGAATAAAGATGTTTCACTGTTCTGTTTTGGGGGAATTCCTGGCATCACAAGCAGAACTAAAAATGTCCACGAGGAAGTACTTGGTGCCATAAGACATCTTCACAAGAACTGTCTGCTTAGAAACCCTGAGGGTACAAGTTAGTGGCCCAGGGCCGTTCGTCTGTGGTAAAGCACCTGTGGATCCCCTTCGCTAGTTGTGGTCAGACATGTGCCAAAAAAGCAGAAGTGGACTGTGGCTTTACTGCCCCCAAGCACATGGCCGAGCAGGGGGTAGCTGAGCAATGGCGGTTAAAGAGTTTGGTTTCCACCATCCCGACTTCATTTGCTTGCTCACTTTCCTTCCTTTTTCACAAGTGGAGAGGTATAAATGGGCAGCCATAATACGTTATCGTTAAAACAGCTATGGCAAAAAATTCAGATGTTTTGAAAACTGTGATAATAGGGTGTTACAGATTATATATAGATCCTTGAGTGTAACGCCAAATAAGTCACATTCATTAGTAAACCGTGATGTTTTTAAAATCTACTTTCTTTGCTACGTGATACAAAAAGAAGAGAGTACAGGATGGACAGGACACAAATAATGTGTTTTAATGAAGGCAGGTTCTCTGCTTCCACATTTGAAGTCCTTCCTGCATTATATCTGCCCACCCTTGTCTTCAGCTTGCCAGACATGGCCTGAAATCAATAGCAAGACAACATGCCATGTTCAGAATTGACTGCAGTTTTGGGTTTCAACAAAATATAGCATCTTTTATCAGTGAAGCACAATCCAATTTGATTCAAACAAGCAGAAATAAGTCATAGCTGAGAGCAAGGGAATAGAGGTGCAATGCTTCACATTGCCAGGATGTTGTGAGAGTCTAGAACAGCGTGAGGAATATCCCTGTTTTCCTATCAGGCCGTCTTCCCATTCATATTCCCCCATCTGTTGAATGGAATTGTGCGTGTTTATGTGTGTTCTTATCATGCTTTTTGGTAATGCAGAGCAACAAGAGTGACATGTACTTAAGTGATATGTTCACACCTCTGCAATGCTGAGTATCCATTTAAGCTGAATATCCTGTTAATGGTTCTGCAACATCAGGCTGCCAAACTGCTACCTCACAACGATGCACTAACATCTCGAAACAGGATTCTGCAGCAGTGTAGCCTTAAAGGAGAGCTCACAGAATAGATTTCCACTTTTTGTCACGTTCTAGAGACGGCGAGGACTTTATGGTACTTTATGCCATGGAACAGGGATATGTTTGCACAGAATGGCCTTGTTCCTCGGGTCACTCATCCTTTTAGAGCTCTGGATGGCTCTGGATGGCCCTGGTGTCGTGTTCCCCCAAATTTGGAGGAGAGCACTGAGGAACACGTGACACAGCGCCCTCCCCCAGGAGAACTCATCCCTCCACTGCTAATGATTAGTGTGACAATGCGCTGATGTGTACGGGAGTCGGCCCATTTTATTGTACTGGGGCTACTCAGTCTTAAAAATGTCTGATAAGGCCAAGTTAATTAGAAAACGAAAAGGTCCCAGTGAAGATCTGTACGTCATCTCTGCTGCCCTTGGCTAAGAGGTGGAAGAGATGGAGTATGGAAGTCAGATTTTTTGAGACTGGCAAACATCATTCTGGGGAGAAGTCACGTCTCCTTCCAAAAAAGCAGCACTTGGGGGGTAGCCAGGCCTGGATGGATTATGAGGTCAGAACTTTTCTGGAAGCATGTGGCCTGAAAAAGGCCTGGTATGCATTAGTGGTCCTAAATCGGGGGGCAAACCACTGCCTGCCCACCATCTCGTGGAGCCAGTGCTGTTTATCGTCTGCTATCTGCAAATCAAATTAAATAGATCAAGATTAATTTCTGCTGCTAAATAAATAGCTGTTTTCTACATTTTACTGACTACATTGGTGCAACAGAAAATCACTCTGACATGTTTTTATGTGTATATGCTTTGGAGTTATGTTAAATGCATAATGGAAAGTAGTGTGGATAAAGGCGCTGTAAGGACCAGCTGTTGCATAAATGACACGTCATTAAAGAGGCTCCGGTTGATGTTCTAGTGACTGGGTTCAGCGGGTTTGCTTGCTGAATCAAAGACATCCTCGCCTTTTATTTCCCCGGCGGCTCAGCAGACAATCCACTACTGTGGCTAGTAGGTGAATGCTGGAGCAGCAGCCGAGGCCAGGCCATTCCTATTGGCTGCGCACCACTGGCACTCCATGGCAGTGATGTCGTCAGGGCTTGACTGACAGTGGCAGGGCTGTCCAGCTCCTCTACATCACCTCCACGGGTCTGTGTGTACTGTACATGTTCCCCTTCTCCCTGAAAATATTAGTAATTATGCACTCGTCAGATTTTGAATGTTTTACTGAAATCGTTAATTGGAAAGGAAGCCTGCATTTACCATATTGTGGACTGCTGTGCCTAGGGTCCTAATTACCCCTCCCATGATACCCACTGGCACCCCCCTGCAGGCAAATCACAAGCAGACTCGAGAGTATGGGAAGGTGCAACAGAAATAGGTAATAGTGGAAAGACAAGCGTGGGGCCTGCTTTGCGGGGTCTGGTGCTCCCCTTGTCCTTGCTCCTCAGCTGCCGACTGTAGAAGAAGAGGAAGGCCTTTATTTATTCATTGGTCCTCCGGTTGGAACAGCTCTTGGGGAACGCCAAGGAGGAAGTATGCATTGAGTGCTGCTTTGCCTGTGGCCACACTGAGCTGAATACTGCCACCCCCTTCATTCTCTCCTTCCTTGGAGACAAGTGGGGCTACAAGATCAACACAACCGGCAGTGGAGAGACCTTTCCCCTCCCCCGTCCGTCACAACATAAAAAAAACACTTCTCATAGTTTTCTCTTGTGGCAGATTTGAGTGATTGCCGCTAGCACTAGCTGGGAGGTAAAGATCTGTCTACTGGCAAAACCAGAGTGCTCAGTGTTCTGCATGCTGGCTGTGTGTCACCTAGCCTGCAGTGTCATGTGACGTGGCTTGTGCAGGGCTTCCCAAGGGATATTTCTGTCCAAAGAAATGACCGGTTGTCTTAGGGGGGGTGGGAATGTTATGGGAGAACTCAAGTTGTCTGCGATTTTACACAGATGTGACTAGAGCAAAATTAGAACACAGCACAAATGGTCCATTAGACAGGGTCAGCTTAAGTAGCAGTTGCAGCCTTTCTGCTGTGCCACATTTCTGCAAACATGCTGCGGACAGTGGGTGTCATGCAGACATTAGCTGCCTGGCTGTTCTATTTGTGACTGGTTTACCCACCCGTAGAGCTAGGTGTTAGCTCAGGCTAAGCAGCATGCTGGAACACACATGTACCGGACCCATCTAGAGCTTAGCTGGACTAATTATTCCTACCTGCTCTTCTTTTTAAGCTTCCCACAGTCCAAAGAGAAGCAATTCAGACAAAGAAGGTTTTAACTGGCATTGCATGAGCACCCGCCACAGTGAACAGAGTTTCACACACTGTGCTAACTGGGATCCAGCTCACAGAGACCTC